ACTCAAATCCTAAGCCCTAAACTCCCTCAGGCCTAAACCCCAGAAACCCTAAGCCTCAAAACCCGAAACCCAAAACCCTAAACCCTAAACCCCAAAGCCCTAAACCCTAAACCTGAAAACCCGAAAACCCTAAACCCCAAACCCAAACCCTAAACCCTCGACCCTAAACCCTCGACCCTAAGACCCTCGACCCTAAGACCCTAAACCCTAATCCCTAAAAACCCCTAAACCCTCGACCCTAAACCCTCGACCCTAAGACCCTCGACCCTAAGACCCTAAACCCTAATCCCTAAAAACCCCTAAACCCTAAACCCTAAACCCCAAACCCTAAACCCCAAACCCTCAACCTCTAAACCCTCGACCCTAAACCCTCGACCCTAAGACCCTAAACCTCAGACCCCAGAGGCCCAGGGCCTCTTGGAGCAATACGTACCGCAAAGACAGACAGGGAAGGTAGAAGTTGGAATTCTTGGGGTTCAGGTTTTAGGAGTTTAGGGGTTTAGGGTTTAGGGTTTAGGGTTTAGGGTTTAGGGGTTTAGAGGTCTAGGGGTTTAGGGGTTTAGGGGTATGTTCCAAGTTACAGCTTCTAACGACGAATCATGCAACCCTAAGAACTTAAGCTTTTTTGCTCCACTTTCAGCAACGAGAAGCGACTAGCTTCCTGGGGAGTGCCCAGGAGTTCGAGGTTAAGCCATGCACTTGTCATTTTGCAGGGGCAAGCTCATTTGTGGCCAGTTAGAGGCAGACTCGTCTAGATACCAACTTACCCTAAACCCTAAACCCTAAACCCTAAACCGTACAACTGGCCGAAACTGATCCGACACTTTCGCACAGCAAGTCTCGTGGGTGCACCCGTCAGGAGACCAGAACATCACAGAGACGCCGGGCCTAAACCCCACAAAACTGAAGCCCTAAACCCCTAAACCCGAAACCCGAAACCCCGTAGCTCCAAACCCCAGATCTCTATATAAATCCCTAAACCTCAAACCCCCAAAACCTAAATCCCTAAACCCCTAAACCCCTAAACCCCTAAATCCCTAAGCCTGAAACCCCCAACCCCCGCGGCCTGTTTGAGGTCTTTGATCTGACGTTCGTATTTCCTGTGGCTGCCGGAGTCGCTGAGAGGATTTAGGGTTTAGGGTTTAGGGTTTAGTGTATTGGGGGTAAAAAGGGTTCCTAGAATGAAGGCCTGCGCCCTAAACCCTAAATCCTAAACTTTAAGCCATAAACCCTAAACCCTAAACTTAGTAGGTTTGGGTTTAAGGTTTAGTGTGTGGGTTTAGGGTTTAGGGCTCCATGGGGCTCCATAGGGCGCAAGGGTCTGGATTGTAGGGTTTGGGTTTAGGATTTCGGTTTAGGTTCTAGGCTTTTGGGCTGTAGGGTTTGGGTTTAGGATTTAGGGCTTAGGGCTTAGGGTTTAGGGCTCTGCGGTTCTAGGGTTTTTGTCTGGGGTCCTGATGTGATTGATTTACTGGGCGATGAACAGGCCAGAAAAGTTTGAGCATCTTTTGAAGCAGTGGTGCTTTGACAAGGGCGATGGGGGTTGAGGCTTCACTAGGAGCTAGGATCAGGGAGGCCCCTTAGGATATAGACCCTCTCAATAAGGCCCCCTGGTGTAAGAGCCAAAGTAGGGCGGGGTATATTCTACTATAACCATTATTAATCAGGAACCCCTAAAGTAGTATTATAACCGCAATCATTAAACCGACAACATTCGGCAAAGTCAAGGGTCTACGAAGGAAGAAGCAGCAGGTCACACACACACGCGCGCTTGCGCAGCGAATCTTCATGGCAACACCTAAAATAGGGGCCTCAGGCCATATACCCTCAGTTTAGGGTTTAGGGCTCAGGGGCCTGAACTTAATGCCGAAACCTGAAAAACCTCAACCCTAAACCCAAAACCCTGAACCCAACAACACAAAACCCAAACGGATGTCAGACCAAGAGCCGTGCAGCTTAAATGAAGCCATTCAAAAGCTCAAGCCAAGGTTCAGGGCTCAGGGTGTAGGGTTTAGGGTTTAGGGTGTAGGGTTTAGGGCTTTGGGTTGAGGGTTTGGGGTTTAGGATTGACGATCTCAGGGTTAGTTTGAGGATTGAAGGTTCAGGATTTAGCATGCAAGGTTTGGGCTTACGATTCGTTTAAAATTCAGGGGTTAGGGCTCCAAGAGATTAAAGGAAGGGTGAGAGTCTCTCACATAGCCTAAGGATGAAGATCTCATGAGCCCTGAACCCACCCTAAACCCTAAACCCTGTACCCTAAACCCTAAACCCTGTACCCTAAACCCCCCCCGGCCTTATAAGAAGCTGCGGGTCGAGATGCACATTGACCGAGGCTTCGTTGGAGACCTTCCCCCAGGGCTTGGCTCTTATGTTCCAGGTTGCAAACCACCCAAACCCTAAACCCTAAACCCTAAACCCTAAACCCTAAACCCTAAACCCCAAACCCTAAGCCCTAAACCCTAAACCCTAAACCCTAAACCACCAAAACCCTAAACCCTAAACCTTGGTAGTATGGGGTGCCGTGGGGCCTCCTGAATTCTTGTCGATGCACGCACTAACGTAAAGCGACAGTTCAGGTTTAGGGGTTTAGGGTTTAGGGTGTAGGGTTTAGGGGAGCACCAAGACTGCATCCCTCGACTCAACCTCTGTCAAAGCGCTCAAGATGAAGACCCAAAGCCTTTAGGGTTTAGGGTTCAGGGTTTAGGGTTCAGGGCATCCCCAATTGTAGAGAAGGGCCCAATTTCAACTTAGGCTCTGATTCTCACAACCCCAAACCCTAACCCAAACCCGAACTCCGACAGGGATTCGCAAAAAACTGGGAGGGGGCCTTCTTGTCGAAAGATCTTTTTGTTCTCACGAATTTTTGCCTAAACCCGACAGCCTAAACCGTTGCAAAGCAATCCATGGCCAGGCCTTCATCATCCGAGTCGCAAAGCGCAGCGTGCTTGCGGTCTCTTCAAGCATCTTGGCCTATCATGTGGGCTTAGGATCGACTTGTTGTTGAGGGGTTAAGGGTTTGGGGGTACGGTTTCGAATCTGGGGCTTTTTGAGAATTCGGATGTTGTGCTGTTTGGCGGGATATCAGCTTCAACACATCTGCGACTTGAACAGCACTTGAAAGTGAGAAGGCCTGCCCAATCAACTTTCTTATCCACATCACACTAGCCGTCCACAGCCGCCCGAACCCGAAAACACCCAAAACCCTAAACGTCTGAACTCTACCTGACTCTACACCCCTAAACCCTATACCCTAAACCCTAAAGCCATAAACCCTAGACCCTAAACTCTACACTCTAAACCCTAAATCCATAAACCCTAAACCCTCTACCCTAAACCCTACAGTCTGAACCCTAAAACCATAAACCCCATTCGGTAGAGAAGGAGACCTTCAACCAGCAGGCAGTGGAAGCTTGCCTAAGGCTGCTCAGGCACCGATCACAAAACTCTAGTCTAGTCTAGTTTAGGAGTTTGGGGTTTTAGGGGTTCAGGGGTTTGAGATTTGGGGATTTAGGGATTCAGGGTTTAGGACTTTAGTGCTTTAGGGGTTTAGGGGTTTTGGGTTTTGGGTCCTCAAGCATCATGCTCAACAGGTATAGCCCGCCATACTACGCAAGCCTACCCTCGGACGTCTTGTGCCAATCTTGCTGAAGTTGGAGAAAAATTGCGTATGAAAATATGACGAAACATTTCATGTCATGCTATTGAGCCCAATGCCCTTATAACCCCCAAACTATGGACCCCAAACCAACTGAAATCCGACACCCGATGGCACTCAAAAGCCCGCAAACACTCAACCCTCTGTAGGACCCTCACAAACACAGTTGGTTCCAAATATGGGTACCAAAAAAGGGTTCCAAATTCGGACCCTTTAA